TATATATAAAATGATTTTTTAAAAAAACTTAATGAAAAAGTTATTTTGAGCAACGTTTTAAATTTTAACGTTTTGGAGTTTAATTATTACAAAAAGTTAATTAATTCTTTTATTCATGAATATTTAAACTCTTTTTATCCGTGCCTATAAATTTGTTAATCTCCCCGGGAATTTAAAAAATAAATTTAATTAATAATTAAATACTGAAAATTCTAATCAAAATATGTCATGTCAAAATAAGAAAAATATGTGAGATTAACCCTTTTAAAATGTCATTTTAAAAAATTATTGTATTTTTATATTTATCCAAACGAGCAAAGAAATACATTTTTTTAAAAAAGAAATAAGAAAAAAGTAACACGTGTCGATAATATCGGCTTATTTTCTTTAACCAAAAAGCCGATGGCGATAATGGTAAAAGAAGTTATCATCCACAAGATGTGCAATTACTCAACAGCAAGTACTCCGTATTAGAAAATAACAATACATTCAACAGAAATGATGTGATCTTATATTCAAATTAGGAAATTTTAGGGAAAAAAAACTCCGAGAATATAATAGTGATATATGAGAAATGATCAGTATGAAGCGTCGTGTACCTTCCTCCGCAGGCAAGATTGAAGCGGCGGATGTGAGGCAAGCGAAGAAACTCATCAACGCCAGAATGAATGCGTATAGAAACAGAGCAACAGGATTCTCTCTAGAATTCATTCTTCTTCAATTTGATCTTCCTCAGAAGACTCCAGAACTGCAAGTTAGTTACAGTTGAAGAAAATTTGCAGAAAAATTAGAATGAGGAGTGTGGGAGGGATTTGAGGGCTGCGTTTGGGAAGAAGGGAGAAATGCTCTCCAGTCTCCACGGACGGAAGTAAATGGTTAGACAATCAAAATTTAAAATAATATATCATCACTGTAATAAAAGTCAGACTACCTAGTCGGCTAATCCTAATTCCTAATTTTGTCTACGTCGAAAAATCGAAATAATTATGCCGGAAAGTGTTACAAGGAATTTCTACACGGTTTTAAAATTCCACACACTACTGTTTAATTTTACTAATTTTTAATGACTGAAGAGTTTTTTATTTAAAGGTAAATGACTAATTTTTACTCCGTAATAAAATCAATTAATTAATTTATCATGACATCACATTTTCATACATTTGTTATCTAGCTTAGCGTATCTTTACCTGAGCAATATTCTCTTATTTTTTAAAGCGAGTCATACTTTTACATTATCAATTTAGAATTCGTTCACTATTTTTTTAATATCTCTACAATTTCAACAAGCTTTCAAAATTGATTCTGAATTTCATATCACATTTAAAAATTATTATATTCGATCAATGTTATTATTATTTAAATTATTAAAACATAAAAAATAACAAAAATTCTATCTCCTATTTAAGATAGGGTGTTGCTATTTACACCCCCTTTGACTAAAATGAGGTATAAAGCACATTGAAAATGTAAAAAGGTAGTAAATTATAATAAATATATGGGTGGTGCAAATAGCCTAATGGGTGGTCAAAATGCTATTTGCACCACCCTATTAAATCTACATTTATGAGGTCAAAATTTAATTATTATTAAAAAAAAAAAAAAAAAAAAAAAAAAAAACGAAGCAGCACCATAGCCTTCTCCGGTGAGAAGGCGACGGACTACCTTCTCACCGGAGAAGGCAACTGGGCTGCCTTCTCCGGTGAGAAGGCAGCCCAGTGGGTCGCCTTCTCGCCGGAGAAGGCAGCCCACTATGTGGGTTGCCTTCTCCGGCGAGAAGGCAGCCCACTGTGTGGGTTGCCTTCTCGCCGGAGAAGACAACCCATTTGCCTTCTCCGGTGAGAAGGCAGTCCATCGCCTTCTCACCGGAGAAGGTGACGGGGTGAAGGTTTTTTTTTTTTTTTTTTTTTTTTTAATTAAAAAAAAAGAAAAATAAATAATAATTTTTGACCATATTTAATGCTGGCATTTACACCACCTATAAAGCTATTTGACCTACTAAGTAGGTGGTGCAAATAGTAAAATAGGTGGTGTAAATAGAATAACCCTTAAGATATTGTACTTTTGTCACACTTTTCAAGACTTGCAAATCTTACCATGATTGCAAATCATCTCATACTTAAAAAATATTTTAATTAATAAAGAGTAACATGGACTTTGAAAGAAGTAAAATTTAAGAGATGGAGATAGTCTTAGCATTGAACAATAGTTATATCGTGAATTATGACATTTGTTGCTACATGCACTCAACACATTTATATTTTTCTCTTTATATTATTTAACTTAAATTTATTTTATTTTATTTTTTTTGTACAAATAAAATTGATCTATATAACATTATTATTATTATTATTATTATTATTATTATTATTATTATTATTATTATTATTATTATTATACTACTACTACTTTAGGAGTGTGAATGAGTTGAGCCACTCAAGAACTATTTGGTCAAAACGTGATTTGAGTTTATTCAAATTCAAACTCGAGCTAAATTCAAATTTAAACTTTTTAGCTCATGGCTTGTTGAGATGCTAGCCACTACAAAAAAAAAAAAAAAAAAAAAAAAAAAAAAAAAAAACAAATCATTGGTACACAAATGAAATTCAAAAAGTATTTAATCCGTTATCAAACTTTTTTTTCATTAAAACCTATTAAAGCACATATGAAAAAATCATTACATGTCATCGAATCATAAGGTGTTTGGCAATTTGTTATCAAACTTATTAATATTTGATGGGGATTATATTATTTTGTTGTAGAAGCAAGGGGTTAGTTCTTGCGTGGAAAGGTGAGTGAAAGAGAGCCACGGCCCACGAGTCTCTGTTATCAGCTGTCAACTTTGAAGGGTTTGGTTTATTACAGTACATTGTCCAATTGTCGTCTTAAATTTTAGAATATAATAATTTTATTCTATAGAGAATATAATATATAATACATATAACACTTCTGCGATATTGATGCTCTAGTCAAGGTCGCCCTCGGGATGGTTGGTCCAAGCAATGCAAGATCGGCAGTCATGGACCTATCTAACCCGTATATCCCCATCAGGGAGGAAATTGGGGTTGCGGTCGAAAGTACTAAATGCACATTTAATTTTATTCAAGTTATGTTTTATGTACTTTAACTTTTTTTTATTAATTTATATTTATTATTAGTGTTTGTTTTATTCGTATTGATAAGATATTTTAAATAGTATAATTTACTTTTAATTATACAAAATTTATGTTTAAGTATTTAACAAATTGTGTAAATACAAAAAAGTAAAATACGGATACAGAGGTGATACGATAAATAGCTTATATCGGGTTGTTTGAATTTAATATTTCCTCCAGGGTTAAAAAGGTAGTGCTTGGTCGGACAATCCTTACTACAAATTAGAAAAGTTTAGAATCCAAAAGGTCTCCTTTCAAGTGTATTTAATGCGCCTTAGAGCATCCACATCAGTGGATATTATGGAGTTATTGTCAGATGAATTATCTTGGGTGGGGATAATAACAAATGTGGGGTAGGGTTATTTGTGAAAATATTTGTTCTGCAAATTCAAGGATAATGTCAGAAAAAAAAAAAAAAAAAAAAAGTCAAATAAAAAACAACACTGGCTGTGCACATCATTGCACGCGCCCGTGTAGCGCGTCAGGTTTTTATTATTATTTTTTTAATTTTTGTTTTGTTATTTTTTTTTCTTTTTTTTTTCTCTCCCCTCCCACATTCTCTTTCCTAATCACTTTTACATTATCTCCCAAATCTCCCCAACTAATGTGGATGCTCTTATATAGGAGGAGATGAGGAACACATGTCGGGCTCTTGGCATGTTTGCCACATTGCCAAAAGGGGATTCCGTTGCGGTTTTACTATGGCAAAAGTGTCCATATATACGGGACGGGCGTACAATTCATGTAATTATGATGTGATAGCACTTTCATTATAATCATGGTGTGACTGTCAGACATTTATTTCTCTCTTCCCGATCGGATTTGCAGACTTCACAATCTAAGCTCGTCGGGCTCGGTCAAATCCCGTTAATCCTGTTTGGATCTAGCCGGCTTGAAACAAAAGGAAATTAACAAAAACAAGGGGAAAACAAGAAACAAAAATTATAGAGTTGAAAACGCCGTTGGTGAACAATGTTGTGTCATATAGCATTGTTCATCAACACCATTTTGGTGCAACATTTGTTGTCTTCCTTTGAGACCCGCCCTTTGGTTAGAGATGGCCTAAGTCCTTCCTTATGCTTGGGGGACTTGGAGGGTTAGATTAATTGGTTGGTTTTGGGCACGCTCTCTAGTCGAATTAGCCCATATTTCCAGTGTGTGTTCGTGTTGCTTGACCTCACAACTCAAAAGCTTTGAAAATAAACAAACAAAAGTCGAACACATAGGAAAATTTAGAAGAAAAAAAAATGGAAGAAAATTTTAGGGAAAATTGCACTTTTTGTTTCTAAGTTATAGGATAATGGTAGAATTCGTCATTAAATATTGATTATATTCCCTTTTCTTCTCTAAGTTATCATTGATGTTGCATTTTTTGTCCATTTACTAATAAAACATTAGGGACGAAATTTGCAATTTTAGTATAACTCAGGGACGAAAAGTGCAACGCCAATGATAACTTAGAGACGAAAAGTGAGCATGACCAACACTTAGGGACGAATTCTATAATTATCATATAAGGACGAAAAAGTGTAAATTTTCCAAAATTTTATTAGTAGAATAGGCAGGTGATCAACACAAAGAGTAAAGCTAAGCCTAAATGCCTAATCACCACCGAAAATGAAGCTGGCATACTATATATACTAGTCTATTCAATGTAATTAGGGATTGGACTAAGATGTTGAACCTCTTTAGCGAGTGTAGTGGAGATTGCTTGCCAAATGCCAATCAATAGTTATGCTCTGGAACCGTGTCGGACATGGTTCTATGTTCATAATTAATACACAGATTCCTCAAAGCATTCATATACAATGAGTCAATGACTGCCATTTTCTAGTTTCACACCAAACAAATATAATTACTGCATGCCATTTTCTAATTTCACATTCATATACTATGACTGCCATTTTCAAGTCTCACTTTCATATACTATCCGTCGATCACTCTTGGTTAACGTTATAAAGATCCGGAAGAAGTTTGGTAGTGGAAGAACAATCTTGGTTGCCATCCCTGCTAGGAAAAGAGTACGATGAACCGGTCCAGGGTGCACCAAGTGAGATACTTCTCTGCAGCTGACGAGTACTGTCCTTAGAGATGGTTGAGGAAGAATTTGTGGTCTGGCTCTGGCTGTCATGTGATAGTTTCATGAAGGCTTTAAACCTAGCAGGATCATCATTTGACTTCCCCAGCCCGACTGGTGGCGCTTGCACCGGAATCTCGCGGTTGAGCATCTTCACCACAGAGGACATGGGTGGCCTGAGAGTTGGTGATGGATTGGCACACAAAAGAGCCAATTTGAGCATCATTAGCGCTTCTTCTTTAGGATAGTTGGAACCCAGGCTCTGATCCACAAGCTCTAATAGATTTCCCTGTTCTTCTAGGACATAAGCCTTCATTTTCCAAACCAAACTCGTCAGGGTTATTATCAGAAATGGTAACAAAAAAGCAGATACGGCTAGCTAGCTCATTTCTTGGCTTACCCAGTCAAGCAGGTACACAAACTCCTCTTTTGGTCTGTAATTTGTGTTACTTTTCCCACTTACAATCTCCAATGTAACTATTCCAAAGCTGTAAACGTCTGCTTTGTCTGTCAAATAGCCCCTCATCGCATATTCTGGAGCCATATAACCTCTGAAAGAAAGAGTAACAGTTCGAAATAGCAAAAGAACTACTTCAATTTTCAAGAATAACTTCTACAATATTTGGGTATTATGAGAACAACTGTTGAGCATGTGGAAGAAACAAGAGAAAACATTCTACAGAATATCAAAGTAGAAGTATTTGTTGGGTATGGGGTTGGGGTTCTAAAACGTGGAACCTAAATAAGATCATATAAAACGAAGAACTACTAAGAAAAAGGCTTACACAGTGCCAGCGATTCGTGTGCTAATGTGGGTATTCTCTTCTTCATCAAGCCTAGCCAAACCAAAGTCTGAAATTTTAGCGTTTAGATCATTGTCAAGAAGCACATTGGAAGCCTTTATATCTCGATGGACGATCTTCAACCTCGATTCCTCATGGAGATATGCTAAGCCCTTGGCTATTCCCAAGCATATCTTCTTCCTGGTTTGCCAGTCTAGACTCAACCTCTGATCCTCGCGTCCTTAAGGAAAATGAAAGGTTAGCAACAAACTGGAAGGGATATCAAATCATTTTAGTAATTCAAAGCCAATCATTTTACCAAAAAGTGCTCGAGAAAGACAGTTGTTTTCCATGTATTCATATATTAGTAATAGCTGGTTTCCTTCTATACAACAACCGTGAAGCTTCACAAGGTTTGGGTGTTGTAAAGCTGATATCATTCCTATCTCATTGATGAATTCCCGGTTTCCTTGATTCGACTTGGAAGAGAGTTGCTTGACAGCAATGACTACACCATCTGAAAGAACACCCTGCAATGAAGTAGGATTATCAGTCCACGATTTGTTTGGGATAAACATCCTTAATTGCTGTCAAATGTTTCCAATATTGTCAATTTGATAACTGAATTAACAATTAATGGAGATAAAAATGAAAGATAAGTGGGAGAAGTAACTATTTACCTTGTAAACTGGCCCAAATCCTCCTTCACCAATTTTATTAGCCAGGTCAAAGTTATTAGTAGCAGCCTTAACCTGTCTGAGAGTAAAATAGCCCGTCTGCAAATCAATTGCTCTCAATTCTGTGACAAGAGGATGGTTAGAAATTTCAGCAAAATCGAAAACAGGACAAAGAACATTTTTGTGGTATATCTTACCATTGTCTTCTGCAACTTTACCCCCGAGATACCCTTTCATCCTTAGAGCTACTAAGATTAACAGGGCGAACACACAACAAGAAATCGCAATGCCAACTATAGCTCCAGCACTCAACCCTTCATCAGTATTGAAGTCTACGAGAAAGAAGGCAGGTTTTGTTAGAAACAACTAACAAGTCAGAGAAAAGCAGAAAGTATATAAGGATGTAGAGATACTAACTTGGTGTGACTGTAATAGCGGAAATCAAAGGTCCATGTACACCTCTCCGAGGAATAGCATTAGTTCCTTTTCCAGTCCAATACAAGTGTATTTCTAGGGTGCTACCATTGACAAGAACATCGTCAAACTCTTTTGTAATGCCAATCCCAGCACCCTTAGCTTCTTCCACAATGTTAAAGTCCGTCAAGACTACCTTCCCCTACATAAGAGTTGAAGAAGACCAAATAAACAGCAAGTTTTCTAGCATGACTCTTATTCAGAAAGGCCGTCGAGGAAATTGATTAACTGTTATGCCACTACTTTGTGAATAATCGTAAAGCCAAAAAACTGTAATGTTAAAGTGGTATATATATGCCTATGACTTACTTGGATTTTTACATCAAATAGTCGCCTCCCAAGACTGCTATACTTTGAGTCATTAGAAAACATTATTTCAGCAAAGTGGAGGACCACTTTATAGCTCCCTTGTTTCATGCAAAACCCATAATACACAAGCGAAGTTGGAGCAAGTCGAGCTGTTTTGTAAATATCATCTTTGATCACATTCGACGAAAAAGTGTTTGTTGCAACATATTTGGCACTGTCATTTGAAATGAACAATCCTGAGCTGCCGTAAGCCCATCTATCAGAGGATGCAGAAAAGTATGATGGGCCTTCATTGTTAAAGTCCTCGTCATATGTATTATCCTCAAATTCAGTTCTGCCTCCTCCACAATTTATAAAGAGAGAATGATCTGCAGGCAAAGTAAAATCCTGAGAAGCTGTTGTAAATAAGTAAAAAGATTTCTCACATAGCAACAGTGAGACTCACATCGAGCTTTGCCACTACTGCAAGGGAGGTCTTTCTGTGAACACCAAGCATTACTACAAATCGTAAATGGGATTATATGATTTATATCACATCAATTTGCAAACTTAATGAAATGAAATGAGCAACAATCTAACAAATAACAAAAAGTAGTTGACTATAGTCTATATTCAGGGAATTTACGAGTCACTCTTTGGAACTGAATAGCTGGAGACTAAATTCCTGTACCAAAAAAAAAGGCAGTTTAAGTAATACTGTAACATAATATATTTAATTTAGCTACAAAATAGGGAAAAGACATACACACTGGAGGCCTGGCACCCTGTTGGAGATGACTCTGTTAAACTGTTGTAGGATAAATCACTGCAAGAAATTGAAATAACATTTTTATGTAAAACTGAAATTTATAACCAAAAAAAAATGCTATTTTCCCTTCATAAATTTACCTCTCTGATTTAGTTGAATACATTTTGACAAAACTATAAAGATAAGTAATTATGCAATCACATGACTGACTAGCAATACTTGTGGGAGTAGTGGTAATAAAAACTTGTGCTCATACTAACATTCTATCTTTGCTTTCCGAAATCCAACTGGGTATCTCTCCACTTAACATGTTATGCGCCAGAAACCTAAATCACAAACAATGGAGTACTTATAAGGATGAGCAATTACTATGAAAATAATAATACTGTAATAAAATTTATTTATTAAAGAAAATCTCAGCTTGATAAGCATTCATAGGTGATGTACTTACACATATTGAATTTTCTTGCCCATTGCAGTTGGGATTTTACCATTCAGCATGTTGAAACTAAGATCTCTGCAAATGAATAGATCACACTTCAGAAACCAAGTAAATTACCATCAAAACCAAATTGTTGCTGATGGCAAACATTGTAGTTAGTCCAATTTTGGTAAAACGTCCCTCAATTGCATTGTTTTTTATGTGCAATATAAGTGCACCATAAGCCTATGATCTCGGAGGGATTTCCCCCCATAATGTTAGAGAAATGAAAGCACAGTATATGAGTGATGAATAGCTTAGTAGAGCCATATTAATATAATTGATATTATGAAACTAAATGTGAGATTTTACCAAGCAACAAAAATAACTCCCACTCATTAAAAAAACTCACAAAGTTTTTAAATTGGGAATAGCTCCTATGTATTCTGGGATGGTATCAGCAATCGAGCAATTCCTCAAAACTCTGCATTGGAAAGTGCATTAGAATACAGATATATCAAAGAGAAGATTTAATTGCTAGCAACAAAATATAAGTATATCCTACGTACAATGTTGTAATATTTTTCAAGCCCTCTAACGTTGGGAATGTCATGCTTCCTCCTCTTAAACCAGAAATTTGCCTGACAAGCACAATGCATGTAAACATCTATCAAATTGAAGTTTCATCTCCCTTAGTGGGATTAGCTATTTAGTTCCTTTGTGGGGCTAGGGGTTTAAAGGAGACTTAACAATTTTTATTTTTTTTAAAGAAAGATTTTTTTATGATTAACAAGCAACGCAGATACAATAATTAGAAGCAAATTTGAGCTCACAGTATTTCTATCTTTTTCAACAGGGATATAGTGGGAGGAATTGGCCCCTCTAGCAATGTGCCAAGCATGTATCTGCAACAAATTTGATAACTCTCTCAATCAAGATGCCACATGCTAACCATAGCTTTTCATTAAATGTTATCATATGATTCTTCATAAATACTCACAATGTTGTCAGTTTTGTCCAGTTGCCAATAAAATCGGGAACCTTACCAGATATTGGATTCCCGTCTATCCTGCTGAAAAATTAGACAACAATAACTTTCAGAACCTTGATTCTTGAAATCAAAACCTACACTCTTTTAAACTTATAACACTTACAAGTCCATCAAATTCTTAAGATTGACAAAAGTTTCTGGTATGACTCCAGTAATATTGTTGGCAGAGAGAAGGCTGCAGCAAAGTTGTTTGAAATTAAGCAATTACAATCAAAAACAACTTCCACTGTAGGAATTCTGGTATTAATCATAATTCATAAAGCCTTCGATTCATTCTACTTACAGTCTTTTCAAATTGCTCAACCTTCCGAGATTTTCATCAAGAGGTCCTTGAAGCTCATTATCTTCCAATACTCTAAGCAATCAACCCAGATTTGTAAACAACATTGGGTACTACTAATTCATACAGTGAGATGAAGAGCACTACATATGTAAAGTTTAACTTACAAATGCTCCAACGTAGAAATATCACCTATTTCTTTGGGTATCTTCCCAGAGATTCGATTCCCCAAAAGTGACCTATATTAATGCATAACACTAATAAAACATTTTAAGGCAGCAATAAATTAAAACAGAAAAGTCAAGAGAAAGAGATATTACAAATTAGTGAGAGGGAGTTGGCCAAAGCTAGTGGGAATTGATCCATTTATGTAATTCCGAGTCAAATCCCTGGGAAGGCAAGAAACATGAGTATAAGTAAATGTGGGTGCATTAAAAGCATGCAAGGGAACATGATCAACAGAGAGAGCTTTACTAGTTCTAAAAGCATAATAACAGCTGAATTTGATAACAAGAGAATCAATTCTCAGTCTTACTCACAATTGTCGCAGAAACCTAAGCTTTGCGAAGTCTGGAGGAAGAACTCCTGGGAGACTAAGACCTTTCAACAGGCTGCATCATTATAAAAAAAAAAAAAATCATTACAATAAAAGTTGTATGGAAGCTTTCAGTCGTAGAAAAATTGAGATACTACTTCTAAATAGTAATGTTCCATTCAGGGGTGAGATAGAAATTTTTTTGGAAAAGTTTACTTTCATTTTTTGTCATAAATTTATAAATGATAATGATTTTAGTCAAGTTTTTTTTTTCAGAACATCCTCTTTGTCATAGTATTATTGTACCATGACCATTTTTGGTCCATCCATGAAATTATTTAAATATTATTAAATATAAGTTCACTTTGATAACTTTTTTAAAAATACAAAATGGGTCAACTAGTTATTTTCTTCTTCTTTTTTTTTTTTTTGAAAAATACCAAAATCACGGGTCAATCTTTGTCTTCTTCAAATCTATACAAGAAGACAGAGACACCCATAATTTTTTTACAAAAACCCTTAATCATTGATGAATCCTAATTAACAGTTGAGATTAGTCCGCACTTTTTACAAGGAAGACAATGTTTTCATTTGATTTGCTTTTATATATATATATATATATATATATATATATATATATATATATATATATATATATATATATATATATATAATGTTGCAAAAACCGCACCAGACGACCGCCTAGAATATCACTGTAATCGGTGTTCTAGGCATCGACTAGGTCACCTAGTCAGCCGATTAGCTATTGTTCCGTTTTTTGTTAATGGATATTTCATTCAAAACGATGTTGTTTTGAGTGAAATAACTCTAAGTCGTTCAAATCGTTCAAAATGACGTCGGTTGGAGTTTGGATTGTGATTAATTTATCTATGATTCTATGAATTGATTTGAAAGTTTGGAGCTAAGTTGACATATTATGAGTTGTGATTGTGTGGAATTGTGTTTTGATTATTTAAATCTTTATACAATTTACAATTCTATATGTTTTTTATGTTAGTATCGAATATTTTAGTATTAACTGTTAAAGTATTAAAAGTTATCGAATTTTAAAAAATTAATAAAATTAAAAATAATTATTAAAAAAAAAAGACCTAGGCGTTAGGCGCCTCCCGACACTCGATGAGTGTTTAGTGTTTTTTTCAATAGTATGTGTGTGTGTAATATTAAGTTTACAAATTAAAACTTTTGGAAGCAAACATTAATTTTTTACATACAACATATGATTAGTTAATCATAAATTATATAAACTTAGTCGTACTAAATATAAATTACTAACAGTTTGGGGTGGGGGTGGGGGTGGGGGGAGAGTGTCTGGACCACCCCACGCCTAATTATGTCTCTAATTGTAATTAGATTTAAAAAAAACTAATAGATACTTAAACAATTAAACGTATAAAATTATATATAGAATTATTTTTCTCTAATTTTTTTAGTGTGAAAATGCTTCAAAGATAATAATAAAAGAAAAAGTCTTACATATCTGTAACATGGCAGGCTGTACTGCCATTGAAATTGCAATCACATATTACATGACTGAACTTATCGTTGCCAGATCCATCATCGGGAAAGGTCTGGTTTAAACCTATGCCATCATTGCAAGATGTCTGGGTAACGTTCCAATACTTGTTCCCTAGCTTTGCAGATATTGTTTTCAAAACTTCCACTGTGACATAAATGAGCAAGCTCGTTAGTTATATTTTTTTCTTGATTTTTTTGCAAGTCAGGTAAGAGAGAGAAGAAAATGAGAGAAAACAAAATACATTTTTAACAAAAATAAAAAGTAAAAAGCAGTTTCACGCGCCCAACATGGCACATGGACACTATTTGCGTGTCTTTTTCTTCACAGTTAGAACCCACAAAATTTTGCGCAAGAAAAAGAGCTAAAAATAACCGCACCCCATTTATCAAAAAACCATCCCAAAACGTCTATTTATTAAAAAAAAAAACCTCCCTAAAAACACAAATAAAATTGCCCTAAGTACATAAAGTCAACAGCATGATTGTAGTATCCCAAACAATTTTAGCGACATAAAAGTTACAGTTCATACAAAATGAAATGAGCTGCTTCCGTTATGATTTGATTGTCACACTAATAAATAAATATAAAAAAGTAGAGATATAATAATTGCATACCATAAATGTAACCCATGTCGTAATCAATCAAAGAATCCAGTGGGCCAGACCAATGACGGCAAAAGATATTTAGATACATTGGATACCAGTTGACCGAATCCAATTGTAACATTTTTTCTAATGAAAAAATCATACTTCTTTTAATTTATATATACAGGGATCGAAGGAAAATACTCACATATGAGTGGACAAATTTGATTCGATCATTTAGTGATGACAAAAGGCTGAAAATTAATGAAAAAAAAAATGTAATAATATTTTTAAAATTTTTTGTAATATAATTGTACATTTAAAAATGTTTGGCAGTGTATTCCAGAATGATTAAAAGTGCATTTAGAAACTCTTCCGATGACACATAAAAGAAAGATGATTAGAATTATGCACCCAAAACATTTTAAAATACATAGTCAAACATTTATAAATATACTATCAAGTATTTTTAAATGCATAATCATAATTACACAAAATTACATAAATGTTATCACATATGTTTTTTCATTTTTTACTAATTTTCAACATTGGATCAAATTTGTCCACAATTTCTACTTGAAAACTTGTTCTCATGAAAACATGGTGATATATATATCAAGAAAAGAAAAGAAACAAAGAAAAAGAAGTGATACGTGTCAATAATATCCTGTTTTTTTTTTTAACCAACAAATTAAATTTAAAATAAAATAAAAATAAAAAAAAATAAAAATAAAAAAAAACATGGTAAGAAGCTCCCATCCACGATATTTGCAATTATTTCAACAGCAACAAATATTTAGAAAATAACAATACCTTTAACAGAAATGATGTTGATATTTACTTGAATACATACAAATTCAGAAATTTTAGGAAAAAAAAAAACTCAAAAATATTTATATAGTGATATATGACAACCGATCAAAATCCTCATGAAATCAGAGATCAACGCACAGAAAAAGTAATACTGCAATATGCAATTCTGCTATGTTTCAATTAAAATAAAATGCTAATTATTTCAAATTCTGTACTTCCGCAGCTAATTCAAATGTCACGAATCTTCATTCAGCATTCCCCTTCATTTTCTTCTCCATTATACTAATTTAAAAACTGCAGTTATAGCCTTATAGGAACTAAGAACGGAATGACTGAAACAATACAGTTACAGGAAAAAGTCCGTGATGTAAACTCAGAGCTTTATTACTTGTTTGTTCGTGTTTTTCACATCAATCTATCACTCAGATCATCAGTATGTAGCGTACCTTCCTCCGCCGGCAAGAGTGAGGCGGCGGATGTGAGGCAAGCGAAGAAACTCAATGCCAGAAATGCGTATAGAAACAGAACAGCAAGAGTCCCTCTAGAATTCATTCTTCTTCAATTCGAGCTTCCTCAGAAGACTCCAAAACTGCAAGCTAGAGTTGAATTGAAGAGAATTTGCAGATAAATCAGAAGGAGGACTGACGGACTGTGGGGTTTGAGGGGTGCGTTTGGGAAGAAGGCGGAAACAGTAAAACGAAATGCTCTCCACCTAAGGAACTCAAAGTTTTTAGGCAGTTAATGAAATAATGAATAATGATTAGACAATCAAAATTCTAAAATAAATAATAATCAGACCCACGTATTACAATTTGTCTGCGTGAAGTAATAAAGGCCAATTTTCACACGGTTTTAGAATTCCACCTACTACTATTTAATTTGACTAATTAATTTATAATAAAATCAATTAATTTATGTTTTCTAAACAAATTAATTTATCAATAATAATAAGTATACATTTTGATATCAATATTCAATAAAAAGGAATATTGACTCTGTTTGGTAACATAGTTAGTTTATTCGTCAATTTTAACTTGTTTGACAATTATTAGTTATTTGACTTGGTTAAACCATCAATATGAGTGATTAATTAACATTTCGTAACGTCTTATTGCTCCAAAACGCTAAAATTCAAAAAAGTAAAGCAGTTTTTTGAGAAAGTTATTTTACATGTAATCAGCTATAAGTTAATATATAATCTACCAAACTTCTTTTTACAATCAGCTAATGATAAACTAATCAAACTCACTAACTCAATCAGCTAACAGCTATTTACCAAACACCATCATTGCCTTTCTGGCCAATATGAAATCAAACTTCCGTCGTGGGTTGGCTTTGCGTTCTAACCGTTGGACATTTAACATCATTTGTCCATTCACACATTTGAAAGTATTCCAATAAAGTAAAATTTCACTACGATTTTATTTGGGAAAAAAAAATTATTGTTTACTTTTTTTAATCATTTGTAACATATTATATCGACACAAAGTAAAATATAGTAAAAAGGAAGACTGCATTTAGTATTACGTACTCATCACATTTTATTACTAAATTAATTAAATAGACCAAAATTGATCAATGCACATCCATAATGTAAAAGAAAAAAAAAAATTAAACAATAAAAAATTGAGTAAAGTTGTCGTGATAATGCAAAGTGGCTTGGTATAAGTGATGAATGGCCCAACATAAAAAAGAAAATAATATTATGTATATAAAATTATAAAAATAATTACACACAAAATTTATGTGAAAGTTCAAAGAAAAATATTTTTTTATATTAAATTAATTTAAAATTTTCTCGACATTTATTGTATTGTCGTGATCACTGACGGTGTTCTTGTAGGTAGGCGTTGATAGGAGATTATTTTAGGAGGGGTTGTTGTGTAGAAAGAATACTAGTTGTCAAGAAATGAGGGATTTTGTTTATTATTTTGTCTTCATTTTCTTATTTTGGCTAAATTACAAATCAATGTGAAAAAGAAAAGCAATTTTTTTTTTATTTTAGACATTATATATATCACACACACACACACAAGAGTGGATAAGCAACTAAAATAATTACAAAATTTTAGGCTAAATAATTCTTACCACATCAACACTAACAACAATTGGATTCCCTTTAGGGGTCCTAAAACAATTTGTATATCAAGCTCCGACAAGTGTGATCAAGTGAGTAAAACATGATTCTTATACCAAAAAGTCACGAGTTTACTTCTTGTCAACACTCTTTCAATTAAGTCCATCACACAAAGTCTAACTGGTGTAGTTTAAATCTCGTATATGATTTGCGAGCTACTCCGTATTATATAAGAGCGTAATTTATTAAGTGCATAATTTTAAGTAGTAGCTATAGAGTTCGCTCGTCATCAAAAAGAAAATGTAATTCAAGCTAAGAAGGATTCAAAGTTCAAAATCAAAGCCATCTAATATGTACACCTATTTATCTAAGTTTCAATTCTTTATCAAATGATGAATTTGTTGGTTTCATATCATTACCTCATATATTCATGTTATTACTATAAAAATAAGACCTATAAAGCATGTTCTTAGAGGTACCCGGTGGACATTTGGGATGTAGTTGGAGACGACCTGAGTGGTAAAAGTAGGATTACAAAATAGTGTTACATAATATTTTAGAGATGGAGTAGAAATCATAAAGCTAAATACAGTGTCATAATAATTTCTTCCTTTTTTTTTTTTTAAATACTTTTTGCCCTAACATTTCGATCCAAATTCACAAAATTTAGCCAAATAATATTAATTAGTGCATAATTCAATCGAAATCTATAATTATAATCAGAATATATAACAGTAATTAAACTAATAATCATGTTAAAACATCTTTGTTAACTGCTGTCTAATCTATCATATAGCATTATATTTACCTAATATGTTTTTTTTTTAAACAATATTTACCTAATATGTTAAATGTTAATGGTCTGCGATTAATTTCTACTTTCAGGCCATTAAGATTTTTGGAACAAGTGGTGTTGCAAGTTGCAACACATTCAGCAGATTTTTTTTTTTTTTTTCAGTATTCTGTTCAACTCTTTTCATATAAGATCTAGAGTAAAAATCTAACAAAACGTAACACATATATTTTTAAAAGAAAAAACTATTAAATTTTAAAATTAAGTCAAGTAAAAAATTTTCCTACATTTATTGTATTGTACTTAAAGCATCCCATTTGTGGGGTTTTTCATACTAAAAACCTAGCATGTAATTTTATTTATTTATTTTTTTTTTTTGGGGGGGGGGGGGGGGGCGGGGGGGGGGGGGTTGTGGCGTAAGGTTTTTAATGATAAAAATAAAAATTGCATTGCATGTGCTAGCTAGACACATTAAATAATTTTATTTGTCAGAATTATTTTTTTTTCTTTTCTTTGTTTTCATCCATTTTTCATCTTCTCTCTTCAATTTCTTTCATAGACCCAACAAACAAAAAAAAAAAAAAAAAAACTTCAAAAAATTTACACCGTTGATCAGGCTCCTTTTAGCGGTGAACCCTTAGACGACCACGTATCTTGATGGAGTTCTTAAATAGTAAGCCATTGGTGAAAAGAGGTTAAAGAGCATGAGTGAAAGAGAACCACGTACAGGTATCAGTTGCCATTTGCCAAGAAGATAGTTTGAGAAATTTGATTTATTATTGTCATTTTCTTTTTAGGTTGAATTCTTTATTTGCTAAACATTAAAACAGATAGGATCAAGTACTAACACGTAACTAATAATAAATTGTCACATTAATTCTTTTTAATAAAAACCTAAAAAACAAAAAAAAGTGAGTCATAACATATTAAACTAGAGAAAGAAATTAAATTATTCCCTCAAGATAATTAATTGATACATATAATGACCTAATATCCCAAAAATACTTAATCCAATTTCGGCTAAGCATGACATTATCCCAGCCTGGAAAATAAATGTAGGCATTTGCCTGGTCCGAAATGTATACATGTCAATTTGGGGCAAGAAAAGTATAAATATCAAAACTCTGTTTATATCGGCATTCTCCTAATGACGGTATAGAACATTTGAGATTATGTAAATCACAATGACTCAATAACTCAGTAGACAAGATTAAATGCATGTGTACATAAGGAATTTGTCTATTTTAGACATAATATTAACATTGTCGCTGCTGAGATTCAGACATTAGCCTCTTCTTCCAAATACTCTCTGCTAAACCAGTGAGCTAAGCTTATGTAGAAGTATTGTTTCTTTCATAGAAAATTAAACCCATTAAAATTAGGTAAAAACTTGTGTAATTGTAATAACCTAATAAGACTAGAACTGCTACTTATGGTGATGATGATAACGGTGGTAATGGTGTTTGTGGTGGTGATATGATGGCGGTGCTGGCGGTATCGGCGGGTTTATGTTATAGTGGAACTACTGCTACTTATGGTGCTCAGCTCGTTAGTCGTTCTCCTTGTGTCTCTTGTTTAAATATATAAGGTGATCTTGTTTCTGTAACACCATTTGTGTTGTTTTTGTTTGTTTGTATTTATTTTTGTTTGCTTTTGTTGCTTTTAAGTTTGTGGGGCAGCACCGGTTTGTATCACAACACTTCTTCATTACATGTGCAATTTTTTTATATTGAAATTGAAAGAATTTTCATTTTTTTTAAAACTTCGAAGAATTTTTTTAGTACTATTCACTCTATTACAATGTAAAAAAAATAAAAAAAAAATAAATCAAATGACACTAGATGATATCGAGTGGGTTGATAGACTTCGCATTGTGTACATGTTTTGCATTTATTTTTGTGTCGTATAAATATGACATATTAATGACTTTGTCCCAATCTGACACATGACCTCCCATTTGGAAGAGCCGCTTCGTACCACTAGACCACAAGGTCATTTAAAACCTAATATTTTTTAAAACAATAAAAATTGAAAATTTATCCACTTATCTAGAATTACAATAAAATGGTATTATAAATTACAGAGTATATAAAATTAATGGTTTTATTGGACTAGGTTCACCATAAACTAAATAATAGGGGTATTTAAGGTAACATGTACAAGAATTAAATAATAGAACATTGAGTCATCACATGTGTCTTTTGATCTATAATTAAATAGTACTCTGTAATAAATTGTGGGATAAGAGTTTAGAGCCAAGATATAAGTCTAGGCCAACAACATGGCTCAACTATAAGGTCTTAATATATTATGATTTGTTAGTTTAATTAGTTCCTATAAATTCTTGTGTGCAAGATATATTATTGATGTGTGTGATTTTTGGCTAAATCATATGCATATTTGCTATGTTGTGTTTCGGTGAAAATATGTCATAATTAATAGAACACTATTGCCACACACACACTTTTTCACTATGGGGAAAAATTATCGGGAAACTTCTTGACTAGCCTTAGGTTTCTATACATTGTAGGAATTTAGAGATTAGTGCTTGGATTGCCTTAAATATAATACTTTACAACTTATAAGATTAACTAGCATGTGTGTATGATGAATTGATTACATTCTAAATATTAGTACATTTGGACAAATCATGAGAGTGGCACCAAGGATTTTACAATTCCTCCGTTCGCTATGATAAAATAAAACTATATTTTTATCTTAATTTGGCTCAAAATATGCATTAGACCGATCATTATATTGTCTTTTACAT